CTCCTCTTTCGTAACAACCTTGTCGTTCGCTGCCCAGCGGCGCACCCAGCGCTACTCTCTACCGCGTTTGTCACAATTTTCGGCAACCCCATCATAACCAGTCTTTCATCTTGGGGGACTGCACAATAAGCGGTATGCGTATACACGGGATTCTATGGGAGGGTAAACGGGAGTAGAAAAAGACCGCAATGTAAGCGATTCTGCATTATAAGCGGTTACGTTATAAATGGTATACACTGTATGTAGATGGACAGTTGATTACGGTGTTGTCTGGGAAACCGCACATTGGTAGCCACCAGTGCTTCCCACCATCGTGCGGTCTTACAAGCTTGGCAAGTTCTTGTCATTAATCTCGTGGCTGCAAATGCAAACTTCTTATCGCGCCGCCCGCTATTCTTGGTGCAGTACTGGAGTACGATCTTTTCGATGCCCAATCTTCGTGTCTTGGTCCCATGACAGCATATCGAATGGCAGGGCCAACCTATTAGCGTTCGTTGCTTTTCGGTAGTGCTCGCGTGCTACCCAAGTTGCGGTTTGGTACAGAATCAACAAAACTCTTTGCATAGCGTTATTTAAAATGACGGTGGCACGTGTACCACTCGAATGGTGGTTGGTGATTTGATTGCGACGTCTTTAATTCAGATGCGCGCTAGTGAAATCAAACGATTTAAGTATTTCAGTGCATAACCAAGGTGGTCTGAGAAATGTAATGCGCATAACCAAGGTGGTCTGAGAAATGGTGAATTTCTGCTATGTTGCTTTTTCTTGTTAGACCCCCTTTCACATTCATTTTGTTGGCAATGCGGTTTTTTGGTCGCATTTTTTTTTTTTAACATTCAGAAATTTGAATGGTTGTAGGCATCATGCCTCGCATGTTTTGATTTTCGGACACGCGAGCCTGCATGCTCAACACGTTTTGCGCAACTTGTGGGGGTGCTGACACCCCCTGTAAAGTTGTTTGAGTCGCGGGGCGCATGTGTCTCGCGCATTGTGTTTTGGGGTCACAATTATCAGGCCGTAGGTAGTGTTGTGCTCGTGAGCATTTATCGCCACCATCATCATCATGGTTAGAAAATGTTAGTGCCGGCGGCGACACCTGCCGGGAAGCCTTGGTGGCAGCATGCAAGAAATAAGCTGGTCTCTGTTGGCGTGGGGAAGTAGCGCGGATGGTTGCCTCCAGCGTTGGGTTTGCCGTAGGCGGTATCGCGGGCGGTCTGCGGTGGGCTCATGTGGTGAGTCAGGCGTTAGGTACACTGCATTGTTTGTCATGTTGTTGAGTGTTGTTTAATGTTATGTAAGGATGTCTTAGGGTGTTGATCATGATTGATGATTTAGTAATTTGGCTGACGATATCGTCGATCAAACAGTAGGTAAATAAATGGATGTGTGTTGGTTTGGTTTGTTCCGACCATGTCTACTGTGCCCGTTCACTCCAAGAGCGAGGTGGTGCTCCCTCAACACCTTCAGAACCCACAAACTGCAGCCCTTGAAAAAAGTTATTTTCATTATGGTGCGGTACCACTTATAGTGCGGATATTCGCGACTTGTGTTATAAACAGTCTATACAAGAAGGGAATGGAGTACACTGTCGCCTTTTTACTGACAGCGTGCCTTGTTTCATTTTGCATCCAGTGCTTGTTGCATGATCATTAGCACCAAGGCGCATTTGTGCATTTCTCTCAGCGCAACAAAATTACTATACATTACAATGAAAAGCACAGCTTTCTAGTACTCAATCCTTGGCGGATCGCGAAGCATTTTATATGCTGAAACGTGCGTTGCTCGTGTGGTTGATCGCAGGCCAACAAGTTGACATGTTGACGATCTGTCACTGCGGTGGCACACTACAGCTTCACCCTCTGAGTACGCTGAGTTAAAGCCAGAACAAAGACACATTTTATACAAAGCAACATTCCTTATATATTATAGTGGGATTACTTTTTATTTTTTATTTATTTATCATATACTGTGAACCATTTAAGGTCCAAGCAGGAAAGGTACAGCAAGTTCAAAGGTAAAATAAAAGTACAACAAAGTTACAACAAAATTGATACGGGTATACACGAAATGTTAGAAAAACATAGCAATCACCATCAAATTATACTCGTTTCCAGAGGGCTGAGTACACCCACTGCAACACAATTCATAAGCAAAGCACCACACTCTTAAGCACACAACAAATTGGTAAATCAAACAAGTATTGTGAAAGCCAGGAAACACAAAGCGCATTTCATGGGGAAAAGAAAAGAAGAGTAGAGTTTCGGGGCAACAAATTCCACTCAGAGATTGATTTCGGAAAAAAAGAGTGTTTGTATAAATTAGTTCTTGCGAAAATTGGCTTAATGCTACAGCCGTGTTTGTGACGGGAAGGCCTGGAAGAATCCTTTACCATGTAGTTTTCTGGCTTTATTTCAAGTTTAGAAAAATATATTAGACGGAGGAAGGTAAGTCGAGCAGCTCGTCGTCTGTCCTCAAGAGGTTCAAGATTTGCCAACTGCAACATCGCAGAGGGGGAATCGCGGCGTCTATACCTACTGTAAATAAAACGGGCTGCCAGGCGCTGAATTTTTTCTATCTTTTGTGTATTGCCTTTTGTGTGAGGGTCCCATACTACGGAGGCGTACTCCAGGGAAGGTCTTACCATTGTTTTGTAAGCTTTAAGGAACTAGGGGCATTAGCTAATCGATGCTTTAGAAACCTTAGTTTTTTACGTGCGGAAGAGCATGTATTTACTATATGGGTTGTCCAGTTGAGGCTTGAGGTAATTGTAACACCCAAATATTTATATTCTTCGACTTGTGTAATCTGTGACCCTTTTATATCATATTTAAAGTGAAACTTGTTGATTTTGTTGGTGATACACAAGTGAGCAGTTTTTTCTAGATTAATTACCATGTTCCACTCGGAACACCAAGTTTCCAAGTTACCGATGTTTCTGTTTAAAACTTGTTGATCTGCCGTTGAGTTTATGACTTTGAAAAGAATGCAGTCGTCTGCGAACAGTTTAACTGATACGCTGGTATCTATTGCTTGAGCCAAATCATTAATATAAATGTTAAATAAAACAGGACCGAGTACGGACCCCTGCGGTACTCCGGAAAAAACGTCTAAGAAACGCGAGCGCGAACCCTCAATCTCTACGTATTGTTTACGGTTTAGTAGGTAAGATGTGACCCAATTTGTTATATCTGAAGGAACGCCAATTGACTTCAGTTTATTTATTAATTTTTTATGGGGAACTTTGTCGAACGCCTTCGAGAGGTCAAAAAAGATCACGTCAACCTGGCTACCAGCATCTAGAGCCTTCGCAAATTCATTAATTGTAGTTAATAACTGCGTAGTAGTAGAAAGACCTCGTCGGAAACCGTGTTGGTGCTCAGTGAGAATATTTTGGGATTGAAGAAAGTTATTGAGGTATTGTGCGATAATATGTTCCAGCAGTTTACAACAATGACAGGTGAGAGAGATGGGCCGATAGTTACAAAAATTGAGACGGTTACCCTTCTTATACACAGGAGTCACACGTGCAATACGCCAATCATCAGGTATCGCACCAGACGAAACGGATTTCTGCAAAATGACTACAAGGAACCTGGCTAACAGTGTAGCATAGCGTCTGAGAAATACGGAAGGGATATCATCAGGGCCTGTCGATTTTTTCGGATCCAATCGCAAAAGCAATTCTGTGACACCTTCCAAAGAAATCTGAATGACACCACAATCACCATTTTCACAAACAGCCCCGTTTAAAGGATCTGACGTTGAAAACACACTTTGGAAATACTCGTTAAACACCTCCGCCACTTCTCTTGGATCAGTAAGTACCCGATCACCCTTGGCGATTTGATCAAGCCTCGTGCCACCCTTATTCGATAAAAATTGCCAAAATTTAGAGGGACTTTCGGATACAAAACGATTGAATGTCACATTAAAGTAGTGATCCCTAGAAGCAGCTAATTTGGACTTTAATGTAGCCTGTAAATCAGAAATGTCTGCTTGAGCAGCATTGGAACGTTTCCGCAAGCGTTTTAATTTGCGCTTCACATGAATTATTTCTCTATTTATCCACGGATTCGTCCTGCCAGCTTTTTTCACTTTATCTGGAATAAAATGCTGGATACAGAAATGACAGTGCGCTTTGAACTTTGTCCATAATGTATTGATGTCATCACTATCATCAAACAAAACAATGGCTTCCTCGAGATAATTAGTTATATTTACATCATCTGCAGATGTGTACTGCTTTATAGTAATAGGTTTGTATTGGGGTGGGTTGGATTGACGTGGGAGCAAAGACGTAAAGTATACCAATTTATGATCTGAAATTCCCTCACAAATATCGGTGGTAATGTCAGTTATAGTTGAGGAGCACAAGACGAGATCTAGAATCGAAGACGTACAGCTTGTCACCTGAGTGGGAAGTAAAACGGTTTGGGTCAGATTAAACGCCAAGAGCATGTCCAGCAAAATTTCAGAATTCAATATGTCTGTTGGGCCGCACTTTAGCGTTTCCCAATTAATACAAGGCAGATTGAAATCCCCAACAACTAAAAGAATTTGGTTGCGATACTGATTTAGCTTGTCGTAAAGTTTTTACAATTGCAGAAAGCATGTTGAAAGCACCTTCAACACATTTTATATTTTAAGTAGCGACTGCATAGAAGCTAGCATTGTTTAAAACGCCACACTCGCTTTGCTCTGCGCTCGTACAGTAAACTCGCTCCTGTGTTGTTAGTCATTCGTAAACCAATAGTGAGTGCAATGACGACATTGCATTGACCGGTCATTAAACGCATCAGACTTTACATTGCCAAAGGCAATACTGTTGCTTTTGCGATCATTTCAGAATACGGGCCCAACTCGTAGTTTTCAGTGATTGCCAGTTTGAATTCTAATTTGAAGTGTTCATGTGATTTGGGCACATTACGCATGTTGACATTCTGTCGCACCTTGTTGCTGAGGCATCGACTGATGCTTACTATGATTGCTTCTTTGTGCAGGTACAACTCCACAGGCCACAACCCAATCAACTACGACCACTATCCACTTCAGTATTCTGCAGCTGAAGTGGAACATGGCTACTGGACTGACCCATACTTTGACTGTGGAGGCCTGCATACTGACTGGGTCATGGTGTACGCATCACCTTTCTTTGGCTGGGACAGCCTTCACGACCGCATAGAGTTCAAGTGAGTGGGAACACCTCCTCTGGACATAACAAGAAAAGGACCCCAGGACATAGTGCAGTGAAATCTCGGTAGAACGAACCCCACATTACCGAACTTTAAAAAAATCTTGTGCCAACTGCTAATAGTTTCAATGCAAAATTATTTCACTACTACGTACTTCAGAATACCGAACTTTTCAAAATAACGAGCTATAATTTAGTTCGTATTGATGGATCGATTGATATGGCTATACCCATTAGATTGGGCGGCGGCCAATGCCACCAAGCCACAATACTTAGTGAACCAAAAACCAGATTTATTACTTTTTTTTTTCTTTAAATAGTGAAGTTGTGGACACGCACTTTGCAGTGAAGGGCCCAATTTTCACTCGTGTGCTGACTTCAGCCACCAATCAGATAACCTCCTTCTAGTTAATTCCACCCGCTTAAAGTCTATTTTGCCCTCCCTGTCCCTGAACACCAGTGCTCTAAAAAACTCTGCACCATCATCCTGAACTACAGGGTGAAGCCCTTCACAGAACATTATCAAGTGTTCAGCAGTTTCCTCTTCCTCTCCACTTGCACTGCATACCATGTCTACCATGTATTTGGCCCGATATGTCTTGGTTCGCAATGCTACCGTGCTGGCCTCAAACAGTAGAGAACTACCCCGAGTATTATCATAGATCCTTTCCTTGGCAATTTTCTGCTTAAATGTTCGATAGATCTCTAGTGCGGACTTCTTAATCATGCCAGTTCTCCACATATCAGTCTCAGCATCCTTCACCTTCTTCCTAACCGACAATTCCCTTTGGTTTGGCCACCTGCTGTTTCCTAAGTACAGTAGAACCCCGCTGATACGTTTCTCACGGGACCGTAAAAAAGAAAACAACAACGTAGGAGCCGAGAAACGCAAGAGCCGAGAAACGCGAAAAATTGAGAAATAAGAGTAGTGGTGCACTGCACATAAATTTATTTTAATTCTTACGCTTGAAAAAATCATGCAGCGTTGCCTGGCACATCTTCTCACGCCCAATAAGCTCAAGGCGTTTTTCAAGCACCTGTAGTGCCATGTGGCTCTCACCATCGTCACTGGTCACATATCTTCGCAATAAATCCAGTGCCGCTACGGCCGATGAGGACGTTGGCTACGGTATCCGCTCCACCTCCTCCTCAACTTCCTCGTCACTGGCGCGTGGATCGGCGCACTCAGCCACGATGTTGTCGACGGATAACATCGCGGAGGTAACAACGGTGTCGTCAACAGAAGTGTAGTCACTGTACGCGGTTCCACTGGCACCAACAGTCTCCATGGCAGTAGTCACTGTACGCGGTTCCACTGGCACCAACAGTCTCCATGGCAGTGTTCAGTTCGTCGCAGTCTGCGAACGCACCATCTTGTACTGCTTCTGTTGTGTCATCTGCGCGCACACCGAAACACTTGTTGAAGCAGTGTCAAGCTGCACGTGCTCCGAACTCCGGGCTTGCTTGCACTTGACGTCGAAGGTTCGGGCATTTTCTTCAATTTCGATCCGTTTTGCAACGATGGAGTTCAAGTTGCAAGGCGTCAGTCCTAACTCCTTCGCTATGCACACCTTCTTCCGCGTCGGGTTCTCTTTCACAACGCGGAGAATGTTCAACTTCTCTTGCAGCGAAAGTGATGTCCGCTTTCTTGATGTCATCCTGTTTGTTTGAAGACTATTTGGAGCGTTGGAAGTGTAAAGGCATTATGCAGCACGCTCGTATAACCTGCGCAACGACCGACACGAAACAAAGGCAATGTGAGAAGACCGCAGCAAGCACAGGTAGCACGGGCACACATGGGCGATGGTGATGGCGATCGGGCTATACCCTTTCAATCGGGCCGCCTGCGAGACCCAATGGCGATAAGTTTAAGCCAGCATGACATCCCAAGAAAACAAAAACAGGTCTCGGAGACCTTACTCATACAGATGCCAAAACCAATTTTAGGGCCCCAACGCGTCATAGACACAATCTTTCTTAGAGTGCAAATACAGATTTCAAAGGTCATGCTTTTGCTGGCATGAACCAAAAGTACGTCATAGGTGTTGCCCCCGGCACTTTGGGCGGCCAATCCCATCGTCAAGCCACCTAACCAAGCTACATGAAAGCCAACATGGCCGCTTGGGCTGGCGCGTCGTGGCACTTCGCAACGTATGATGCGGGAACGGTCCCACAGTTGCGACACAGCAGCGGGGTTCCCAATGCATTGGATCCTATGGGAGCTGTGCCGGGACCGGCCAAAAACGACGTAACAGCCAGGAAAACGCAGCACACGAGAACGCAACAGCGGGGTGCTACTGTATTTACCAGTCAATTTTCTGGTTCGCATCCTCCATTTTGTATCGACATTCTTCATGTACAAGTAGCTGAATACCTTCCTATCCCAACACTCCTCCCCCATTTCTCTCAATCGCTTCTCAAATTTTTTCTTGCTGCTAGCTTCCCTGCCCTCAAATGATGTCCATCCCATATCACGTTGTACTCCCTTATTTGGCGAATTCCTGCGAGCTCCCAAGGCAAGCCTACCTATTCCACAAAGCTTAATTTCTAATCTTGCTTGAACTTCTGATCTCATCTACAAGACCGCCTTGCCGAACGTCAGACCAGTAACCATGACCCCTTTCCATATTCCTGTCACATCATACCTATTGTAATTCCACAGTGCCCTGTTTTTCATCACCGCTGAATTCTTGTTACCTTTAGTCGTAAGTATAATTCGTGTTCCCTTAGGTACTCGGTTCCTTTAGTTGTCACGTATATTTCGAGGTCCCTTAGGTACTCGGTCCCATTGCTTATCCATATGCTCAGATTTTTGTATTTATCTGTTATCTCTAGCGTGACCTCCAGTATTCTAAGCTCACTACCTTCATTATCATTAAAAATCATGACTGCTGAATTTTTCTTACTGCATCTGAAATCTAACCTATCTCCCTCATTACCGCAGATGTCCATCAATCTCTGCAAATCTTCCTTGTTGTCGGCCATTAGCACTATATTATCTGCGTATATCAATGCTGGTAGTGCCTGTTCAATTAGTTTTCCTTGTTTAACGAAAGAGAGGTTCAAGCCCAGTCCACTTCCCTCTAATTTGGCCTCTAATCCTTGTAGGTACATCATGAATAACAAGGGTGACAGAGGGCACCTCTGCTTAAATCCCTGTTTTACCTCTGCAGGCTTGTATACCTGTTTTTTCCACTTTGTAACTGCCTTGTTACCTTTATGGATATATTTTAAAAGATTAGTGACTCCATCTTCCACACATGCTGTGTTTAGTATTCCCCACAAGTCCTCTTGAACCATGCTATCGTACGCTCCCTTGATATCCAAAAATGCTAGCCACGGGGGCCTGTGTTCCTTTTCTGCTATTTTGATCCACTTGGTCAGTGAGAACAGATTGTCTTCCAACCTCCTGTGTTTCCGAAATCCATTCTGCAGTTACCCCAGCACATCCTCATCCTCTATCCATGCCTGCAGTCTTTCCTTTATAATCTGCATCGCCAGCCTGTAGACCACTGATGTCACTGTTATAGGACGGTAGTTATTTATGTCAGTTTTGTCCCCCTTTCCTTTATAGATCATGATCATCCTGCTAAGTTTCAATCCATCGGGGACTTCACCATCGATTATTATTTTGCTCACTGCCTCTCTGAAAGCCTGCTTAGACTTCGGACCTAATGTCTTTATCAGCATAATTTGAATGCCATCTGGGCCTGTTGATGTACTACTAGGAACCCTCTTCTCAGCCCTTTCCCACTCGTGAAAATGGAGCCATTGCGCCACTTGATTCATCCTTGTATACCGTAATTACTCGAATCTAACGCGCAACTTTTTTCCGGTTAAGCGAGTTCATAAATGGCATGCGCATTAGAATCGAGTACGAAAAAAAAAACTGAATACGGTCATTCTATTGCCATCGCCATATCCAAAATGGCTGCCTCCTACGTGCGTCGGCATGGCGCGTCGGCCGTTTTGCCTATATGTTTCCCATGAGCGGAACTTCGTACGTGTTCTGAGGAGTTCGTCATCTTGTAGTGCATTAGCGTCGAGGGTATGGAAGGACCGACTCCAAAAACTCGAGTGCACCACGATGTCGCTTCTAAAAGAAAAGTCATCGCGTGTGTAGAAACGGACGGAAATGGGCCGCATTGCGGTCGTTCGGAGTTCTCGAAACGTGCATGCGGGACTGGCGGAAACAAAAGCAGAAGATTGTCGACAGCAAAGCTTCACGCAAAGGCTTCAGTGGACCTCAGCAGGATCAGTTTCTGCAAATTGAAGAGCTGCTCGGCGAGTGTGTGCTTGAGCAGCGAGCGGCACAGCGGCCCGTGACGACAGAACTGCTCCCAGTGCGGGCTATGCAGTTAGCCTTAGAAAAAAAAAAGGGCTAATGCGGAGCCAGTTTAAAGCGAGCAGGTGCTGGCTAACTAACTTTATGAAGAGGAAAAGCTCTTCTCTCCGAAGGCGAACGGGCATATGCGAAAAGTTTCGAGAGGAGTAGGATGAAAAGCTTCACAGTTTTTAGAGGTTTGTCCTAAACTTGCGGCACAACAACGGCTATCTGCTTGGGCAAATCGGGAATGCCGATCAGACGCCTCTTTACTTGGACATGCCTAGCACCACAACTGTAGAGAAGAAGGGGGCGAAGCAAGTTCGCGTGCTGACATTGGTCCACGGTAAAACTGCGGTGGTGGCAATGCTCTGTTACACGTCACATGGGCAGAAGCTTCCCCAGTATCTCATATTTAAATGGAAGACGCTCCCGAAAGGAGTCGTTTTTTCGAGTGGTATGATCGTGCGGGCCAACGAGAAAAATGGGTGCACGTTGCAATCGATGTCTTACTTTTTTTTCTTCGGCGTCGAAACCGGGTGCAGGTAACAATCGAGGGCACGTAAAATCGAGTAAATACGGTATATTCATCCTTGTATAAGACACTTTTTTTGTTGAAATTTTTCTGTCTCCCTTGTTCTTATATATTCAATAGGTTTGTCCCCTTCTAGCCT